TCTCTCTCTCTCTCTCTCTCTCTCTCTCTCTCTCTCTCTCTCTCCTCCCCTCTCCCTCTCCCTCTCCCTCTCTTCGCTCTTCCTCTCTTCGCTCTCTCTTCTTCCTCTCCGCGTCTTCGCTCTCTCTTTCTCCTTTTCAGTCTGGAAACTTGGAGGCAAAGAAAGAAGAAGCCTTAGGAAAATCCCAGCCCTTCATGCTACAAACCCCAGGGCAAAAGGAAGATACTTCTCCTTGAGAGAAGTTCCCAAAATGTTTGGGGCCCAATTTGATTCAAGAGTCATCTTTAAAATTTACACACTGTTTGTTTTAGCCAGGCAGCTTGCTATCTCCCATATCCAGCCAGCAAGTACATCATTTCAAAATAACGATGGCAGTGCCACAGAGAACCCACAACAGCACAGGCAGAACCCTAGGTGGAGTGCGTGGCATCTCGGTCCCATTCCTTCCCTGTGGCTATGAGCAACTTCCAGTAAACAATATTACTGAGTCATTTGATGACTCCAGTGCTTCAAAGCTGGAAGCTTTTCTCTCTCTCTCTCTCTCTTGTTTGTTTGTTTGTTTGTTAAATTGTGCGATATTTTAACACATGGCATACCCAGGTTTCTTCAAGTTGAGAACTTCAGCAAAGGAATGCCCGCGTAGAAAGACCTCCCGAGTAGGTTTTGTGAATGGGCTTTTGTAAGGACGAAGCTCCTTCCTTCTTGTGTTTGTCTGTTGCCAGTTGCTAATTAATAGTAAAAAATCTATTAAGAATTTACATTGCCCAAGAGACATACAGAGGGTGTGTGCATGTATTCTTTTTAAAAAATTATTTTAAAAAATTTATTATTTTTTGTGTGTGTACCATCAAATCAGATCTTACTGGTACCGGAGGAGATTGCCCCTCCTTCTCCAGCAGAGAATCTGGTGGATTTGAACTGTTTAGCTCTGGGATTGCAATGCAACTTCTTGCCACTAGGCCACCAGAGTTCCCTTGAATGTATTATTTAAACATACAGTAACCTACCAGAGTTCCCTTGCATGTATTGCCTGTATGTTTAAACAATAAACTGGAAAACAATTTTCCAGCTGAGCTAGCATTCCATGATGCTAGCTTTTGGAGAACTTAGTCCATAACTTTAGTATACTAATCATTCAAGGGCAATGAGATGAAAATAAGAGATATCAATAAAAATGGAAATATCCAATATTTGAACTAACCAAGAACGTGAGTTGAAGACAAAGACAGAATACACATCCAAACTCATGTATGTGGAGTTGGGAACCAATACATAGCTGATCCTCCAGTGAGTTTTCAGAGACTATAAATCGCATTGGAGGAGATTATCAATCTTCCTCCTGTGGAGTAACTAGTGGATTGGAACCACACACCTTGGGGTTGGCAGCACAGCTCTCTTACAGACTAGACCACTAGTGCTTTGTAGAATACATTTTTTTTTCATTTATAGAAGTTGCACTCTAGAGTCTATTTATATAGATTGCCTAATGTATCAGACAGGATTTGAAACTTTGAAAACCTTATGTAGCTCAGCATGATGCTTATTGCCTAATTTGGGGAACTAAAGTCTAGACTCCATTGCATAATAGTAATTCCCTCTGCCGTTTGGTTCCAACCCATTTTTCCAACGCGGTCTTTTCCACTTTGTCTTTTGTTCCCTTTACTCTGATCATGAGAGATTATGTTCGGTTCTTTCCAACCTTTTCCTTCCTCCCCGCCTTTGGTCATGTCGTTCCCTTAGCCAGGAATATCTTCCTTGGAAATCCTTGCCGTTGAGAGCATTGTCAGTCTTTGAGACTCCAAGGGCTCCTTGTGTAGGCTTGTCCCATGCTTCTTAGACCACTTGGGGATGGGGTGGGGTGGTCATAATTGTTTACACCTCTATTAAGGCCCTTGTTGGGGTATATGTCTCACTGTTCTATTCCTGTTTTCACTATCTACAACACCTAGCCTAACAGGCTGCCCAAATACTCGTTCAATAAATACACACGGATTAAGCTGAATAGGAAGTGCTTGACAACTATTAGCAGAATCAGTAAAGTCACTTATTCATGAGTCAGTATAAATTATTGGCAAATAAGCCTGACTTTTGTTTTGACGTCTCTCCTGGTGACACATATTGCAACAGACAGAAGAACTACACTGTGAAAGGCCCCCAGGAAATAATATGTTGACGCTTTTCTCTTTTCCTCCCTACAGAGGAGTCTTTGTTTACAGTTTCAGGAGTGAGACTAAAGCCAGAAATGTGTGACCTTTTGGCCTCCTACCGGAAAGGTCACCACCCAGCCCGGGTTAGCAAATGCTGGTGAAAAGAAAGAGAGAGATTCCCCAGGATCATTCCAGGCAAGTGGTGGCCCTATGGGGAGGCTCCCGTGGCTGGGACTGAAAAGTGATCGCTGCCAGGTGGAGACGACATTGTTCACGGGGTCAGCGCTTCTCTGCTCTGGGTCTAGCTCTCCACCTCCAACTCTTCACACAGGGGGCTCCGTATCCTGATCCCTGAAAGGAGAGTAACAGCAGCACCTGTCTCCTTTGCTCCCAGAGACATCTAAGGCTCCTAAAACCGTACTTAGAGAGCACTGTGAGACCTTCAACTGAGACCTACAGAATAAAGGATTAAACTGACATTATACTCCCATAACTAGGCATTTCTCTCCATCAGCAGATGTGACAAAAATCAGGAGGGGAACCAATTATTCTACTTTTCCCAAGACAGTGGGTTTTCTTGGGATGTGGAAATTTCAGTGCTCAAACTAGGACAGCCTAGGATAAGTTAGATGGTCTACTTCCCTAGTGCCACCCTACATTACCCTCTGGCCTGCCCCCAGGTGCCAAAGGAGACCTGGTTCGTTCAGTCTCACCCAGGAGGTGGTTGTAAAGGCCAGTTAGAACCCCATCATCCTTGCTGCAGGCTTCTCAGGTCACAGCTTACATGGGTCACAAGAAGTCCTCTCATTTGGTGTCAGTGTTGGGGACCCCAGGGCCTGATATGAGAGGCAAAAGCCGTCACAATACATCTGCTCCTGGGAGTCACCCAAGTCAGCCCAGGGCAGCCTTGCTTTCTAAGGTAATGGTGGGAAGGGGGTTTTCTAAAGGCTACTCTCCCCAGCCTCAGGAGATTCAAATTCACCAGCAGCTCTGAGGGAGAACAGTGGGCAGTCTCCTCGCAGGCAAGTTCCAGCCTTGCAAGCCCAAGGACAGCTCACCTTTGACTAAGCTCTGACACGATGGCAAGGAAGTTTATTTTCTACTCTCCCCAAAAAGCATGTCTTTGGGCAGTGTCAGAAAGTCAGGTAGGACAACTCCAAATGCCATTATAGTACAGATATGCTACACAGCACAGAAGTGCATCTCATCCTGGGTAGAAGAGACATGAATCTGCATAGCATAGTCAGGGTGGTCCACGTGAAGAGCCAGGTACCCAGACCTTTAGGTTACCCTGGCTGTACCCTAAAGACCAAGCATAATGATTTGATTATCTTCTTTGTCACCCACTGTTGGTCTTATTTCCTTATTTGGGCCCCTATAATAATCTAACAGACTTCTTCCATTGACACCTGACTTCATTCACAGGGCAGCAGGAGCCCACTCTTGCCCCTTTCTCTTGGATCTCTCTCCTTGACTCATAGATAGATAGATAGATAGATAGATAGATAGATAGATAGATAGATAGACAGATAGATTTATATAGCACATATATCATACATGCACACGCGCGTGCGTGCTTGCACACACACACACTCACCCATATATATCTCAGAAATATCTGCCTCTGGCTCGTCTAAAATCTTATTTAGACATTTGGAACGAGGAGAGGAGTTTGGAATGAAGGCTGTTTTCAGGATATTTTATGGAATGCTAAAGTTGTGTTTTGGCAACAATTGGCAATTCAGTAGCATATATTTAATAATACATATTTCCCCAACAAAAATCTTTTTTCCCCGTAGAGCAATTACTGTATAACTATAGCATTTTTGGAAGCAAGAGTGGCATCTACTTCCTAAACAACTTGCTTCCAGAAAATCTATGAACTTTGATAAATGTCCATAGTTGTAGAGGGACTCCGGGCCTTTTGTTCATAGGGTCTCTATGAGTCGTGCTCAACTCGAAGGCAATCAAAAACAATAACAACATAGCATTTTAAACCTATTACTTAAAGAAAAACCAACCCAAAAAACAGGATCGCTCTTTTTTATAAAATGAAAAGTTTGTCCTTCACAAGATTATTGTTGTTATTGTTGTTGTTGTTATGTGCCATCGGTTTGCCTGTGACTCATAGCCACCCTATGTATAATAGCTCTGAAACTCTGTCTTATCCCGGTACAATATCCCTGTCTCTGGCACACTTGCCGTTATTACTCTAGTCACTGAGTCAATTAATCTCATTCAGGGTCTTCCTTTTTTGTGTTGTCCCTCCACCCTTCCAAGCATGATGTCCTTCTCCATGGACTGGTCCATACTGGCCACATGCCCAAAGTATGTGAGATGGAGCTTCAAAATCCTTGTCTCCAGAGAGCATGTTGGTTTTACCATGTCTGGAACAGACCTGTTTGTTGGAATGTTAATGGACTTGGCAGTCCATAGTATGTTCAGTACACTTCTCTAGTACCACGACTCAAAGGCATCAATTCTTCTTCCATCCTTATTCACTGTTAAGCTCTCTGACACAATGACTATGGCCTGGATCAGGTGCACCTTAGTCTCTAGACTGACTTCTTTGCACTGCAGCACTCTGGAGAGGTCCCTGACAGCAGATTTTCTTAACCCAATTCATCTTTTGATTTCCTGGCTGCTTGTTCCAAGAAAGTTAATTTTGAACCAAGAAAGCTGAAATGTTGTTGTTAAGCATTGTCAAATTGACTGCAACTCACAGTCCCCCTGTGAACAACAGGTATCAACCTTGCCCTCACCTGCACCACCCTCGCCATTTCTGCCAAGCCCACTGTGTCCACTGTGTCAATCCATCTCGTTGAGGGTTGTTGTCCTCTCTCTTGCTGACCCTTTCTACCTTTCCCCAGTATGTCTTTTTCCAACGACTGGCTGGTTGTAAAAATACAATGACCTTAGATGGTAGTGCCCATCAAGCACTGTTGTTATTATTCTGTACCTTCAAGTTAGAACGTATTCATAGCTGGCCCTCTAGCTGGTTTTCAGAAGCAGTAAACTCATGGGAAGAAATTGCCCATCATTCTCCCACAGAGCAGCCTGATGGGTTTGAAACGTGTGACTTTGGGTTGGCAATGCAACTCCTTACCACTAATCCATTGGAGCTCCCCGTTGTTGTTGTTGTTGTTGTTGTTGTTATTATTATTATTCTTTTATTATTTTTTATTATTTTATTATTTCTGTTGTTGTTGTTGGATTTGTTTCACTGAACAGTTGAAAGTAGGAAAATAATCCTGTCTCTTTGATCTACAATGGCCTTGCGCAAAGATTTTTACCTGTAGACATGAACTGGTCTTAATGGGCAAATCAATTAACTGCAGAGTGTCAAGTTCAGTGTCTGTGCCAGCAATTGAAGAAGAGAGGAGGCAGACTTAGCCTTTTTTGGAGTAATCATCCAATATCCCTAGACCTTTGGTAGTAATGTAAGGAGATAAAACCCTCAGGAGATGAACTACAATATAAGAACGCTAGAGCAATTAAACTGTGTAAGAAATGGCTTGGGATCAGCAATATCTGGGAGGGCTAGAGTCCCAGAATGAAAGCAATAATCATGTAGACGCTGGAGTCTCTGAATCTTCTCTGCTAAATTCAATTTATGTTAAAATATTCACCTTCGGAAGAGTCAAAATGTAAATTGAGGTTTCAGGACTTAGTAACTGACAGCAAGACCTCAAAATTGAGTTGTTTCATCCTCAAATGTCAGTGTCAGGTGTAGGGGGGAGAAAGTATACTGATGGTAGCAAGACAGAACGAGAGGAGAGCTCAAATTTACACTAGGTGCTTGATATGTCTTTCAGGGTTTGGTTTGCATTGCTCAGTGGGGTCTGTTGAGATACAGTTGTAGCTTGCACATACAGAGATAGATTTTTATTTTTTGAAAGTGTTATTGATTACTATTCCCAGAGGTAAGAACTGCTGTAATTTATCATCACGTGTCTGCCTATATATAAGATTCTATGTGAATTCCATCTGAATAGCTTTATGATTGTGTCTCACAGATTTTCCTTGTGTTGTTGCTTCTTTATTTACATCTAGAGCTGCTTTGCTGCTGTTCCTGTTTTCGTTTGCTTCAACTCCCAAAGAAGTTTGCTAGAGAACATGTTGGACCAAGAGTTTTCTTCTATTTGTGACCTGGAATCCTGTTACCATCATGCTCAAGGCAGTGGCACTGAATACTTGAAGGAAAAGCAATAGGAGGTTATTGCTATTGTTGCTCACCTCAAATTTAACATTTTGGGTCTATGATAGGCCCCCAAATTAGGCCTAGATTGAATGAGCCCAGGAATAGGCTTTCTAAATAATTCCATCCATTTCATCATTGGACAGGCCCCTGGGCCAAAGGTCAGATTCCCAATTGGATAGATGGGAAACTGACTGTTGAAAAAAAATCTGGTGACAGAGCTGGTGCTTACAGAAGCCCGTCACTCCTGTGCTCACTTAAAATTTCCTGCAACAAAGGACTTCTGTGGCAAAGAGAGGATTAGTTTAAAATTTAGAAGAGTCTCAAGGGAAGATGGTTTCTTGGATAAAGTTGTCAACAAAAGAATGCACTTAAGACTATTTGTTATTATTTCCTAGGGGGCGCTTCTCCTATCACTAACAGGATTATCAGACACCAGTTACACCCCCATTTTCCTCTAGCCAGGATTTAGGAGTTTGGACTAAGCTACTGGTTAGAATTGTATTTCAGGCTAGATCCTTATACTGAATCCTAATTGTCTGTAATGATGACAAAAGTGATGAAGAATCTAAGCCCTGATTTGATGGTGGAGATACTGAATAGAATGATAGGAGCAAAGAGTTCCAAAGATGTAATTCAAACTCTTTACACCACCACCACCACCACACACGTAAACACACACACATCTCCAGCAAGTAAAATGAGAGCTCTGTGTCTGCTAACATCTACCATTTTCTACAATGACTCCTTCTAAAAGAGGTTAAAAGAAACCAAGGTAACTCAAATTTCTTCTGGTATTACTGTCTGCCTACAGATCATCCACTCAGGAAATGTAGTAGCCTAGAAACCAGAGAACCTTATATATCTTCAGAAAGACAAGAAAGAACTTTTTAAGAGAAAGGGGGGGAATAGTAACTATGCACCTGAGGTCTGAGTTGAAAAAAGAAACACTGTGTGTAGCTTCACCTGAAGACAAGATGAGGTGGTGTGGACTGGGC